ACTGAGGGCAGCCTCCCTGACATGTGTGACTAGGCAGTAAGGGTGGCGGTTGATGGTGGCCAGAAAACCCAGTTCTAAGGTTCCCACGGCCACATCTGGCTTCTGATTCTGCTGCCCTGCAAAGAAATTGTGCTCCGGATAACTGCACCAGTGTCTCTAATGCCTCTAATTCACTCGCGGGCCCTCAAAGGCCTGGAGTGATGTCACTTAAAGGTGGACACACCTCCATGAGCACCTAACTTACACCAGGAAGCGGCAGAGGCACTGGGGAAGCCTACAAGCTCTCTCCACGTCAGATGCAACAACGCAGGGCAGTTGCCATGAGTCAGAGTTATTTGTAGGCTTTTGAGTTTTAAAAATCAAAATTGACCTGCATTGTATCTCAATAGACTCAGGTAATTCTCACCAAAAATTTTGTAATTTGTTTAAATAGCACTGGAATAATTCAACTTCATTTAAATATATTCATTCTACCGTGAAAATATTTCATACAAACATCTATTTACATACAAACACATTAAAATTTGTGAAAAGGGTTTCCACCCCTGTGGTTGTATGGCTTGAAATAGTTTCATTGCTTTGAATATGTCTGCACACATTTGGCAAAATAAAACTATTAAAATTTAGTAGTTTTAAAATAAAAAAGTGACAACAAGGCTCCAAATTCCTGAAGGGAAAGATCAAAGAAAACACAATCTATCAAGGTACCTCAAGTAGATGTAAATTTAATATATTTTGTGAACCTTTGATCTGTGGCAAATAAACATTACAACTATCAGTCTTGCAACATAGTTTTGCTTGTTTTTCTAAAAAAAAAAAAAAAAAGATGTCTGGATTCTAAATCACTACTCTTAAGACAGAAACTTGAGGCAACTGTTTTAAAACAAGGCAAAACGGAAAACTATACTTTCTTGGAAGATCTTAAATGCACTTTGTAGTGAGTGATTTAAAATTTTATATATTAAAGGAAAGTTTCTATAAAGTGCCACATACTGTCTCACTGAGAAGGCAACCCTTGAATTCACTGTTTACGGTTACTGCCATTTTAATAGTTCCAATTAAATGTTGTAAGTGGTTACACTTTTGCTTCCACGTTGGCCTTTCCAGGTTGTTGGTGGTAAGGAAATCGTTTTTCAAGCGTGAAGAACCCGCAGAAGGCAAATACATTTAACTACAGCCCCGGACAGGTTCAAAGACGTCTTGAAAAACGAACTTCCTTCTTTGTTTCTCAGGTAGACCAGGGACGAAGCAGGTTAAAATAAGAATAGGTACTGCGAAACGCAAGCCCTCCCTGCCTGTTGCCTCTTAATGTCATCGTTCCTGTGTCGGAAACTCAGTCCTTACCGTTGTCTCGTTAGTCCGTTCAAATGTCCATGTGGGACATACTCCTACAGATTAGTTCCTATTCCTAACTCTAACTCAAGATAATATTTTGTCCTAGAAAAGCTGCTAAGGAAAGATCTAGTCATGCAGGAGTTGGACCGAGACGGCTCTGAGTGAATCTCCTCCAGACGTACCCTCACGGGTGCCAGCGTGTTCTGGGAGAGCACAAAGTTATTTCTTTATTCCCCACCGCATGGAATCCTCCACAATTCTGCTGTGGTCATGATGCGACCAAAACTACCAGATTTGGCTGCTTCCTGACATGTTTCCTTCCACCGTGGATGTAAAGATTCAGTAGAGAAATACATCCCGAGGCTTTCCCTGTCACACTTCGGCTCGAATAAGGAACAAACACGTTCCTTTCTCACCCGTTAATTCCTTATGGTACCTCAAACCACCACGACTTCTTTACCTACCTACAGAACACAGTGAACCTCAACCCCCCTCTGATTCCAGTCCATGACAAAGCCTTCCATTTGGGAG